GGTGGGGTCTGCCTACTGCCCGAAGTCAGCTGGGATAGGCTCCAGCAACTCCCCGCAACCCTGTTCAGGATAAGCCGTGTTGAAAATGGATGGATGCATGAATGATAACTTGTCAATGACATAGATATTATTGATATGATTGCCATTGGAAAAAGATCTGAAAATTTTGCTCATAATGTATTACATATAGAGTATACATATTCTTTTTTTTTCCCTCTAACCTTTTAGACCTGAAGAGGGAGGCCAGCATCTGCCACATGCTCAAACACCCGCACATTGTGGAACTGCTGGAGACCTACAGCTCCGACGGGATGCTCTACATGGTCTTCGAATTGTAAGTCACACATCCGGTTACAGATGAAGCACAATTGCGAATCGCCCCTGGTTGAAGGCTTCTTGTTAGCGGGCGGCGGTGGGAGTTTGCACGAGGAACAAGAGCTCTGGAGCATGCAGCGATTATATGGAAGGGAGAAGAGATGGAGATTAAGATTTCACACCAGCTATCAGCAGCCTCCTCTCCCTTCCACTCATCCCCGCTCTCGTATCCTCATCTCTCCGCCATTTCCCTGGCTTATTCCAAATTCTCACCTCACTGAAAAGAACAGCTTTGGTGCATAAAGTTCCATCAAAGAAGGGATGAAGATATATTTTTTTTAATTGCTCATAGTTGTCAAATATGGCGCTCAAGCAGGGAAGTACAAGGCCCTTCCACACAGCCATAAGGCAATGGTTTATTTGTTTTTCTGCCTTTTTCCATGTTGCTGTTCTGTATAAACGATAGATAATAGGGTCAAAGTTAACCCAGGTTTAGGGAGTTCGTATCACAGCCATGGTTGAGGTACTGTAGGATGGCACCCTTGTAATATGGAATTCCACAATTCCTTTTACATTTCCTGTTCAATATCGTATTTCACCGCTTTTTCATGTTACTGTTCTGTATAAATGGCACTGCTTCACAAGGAACCGATAACACTAATGAAATTATTTCAAAATATTTGCAAAAATAATTGCATTAGTGTTGTCTTTGTTCCATGTACTGTATTACTCTTTAACTATGTTGTTTTATATTTTGAAAAATATTAAATTTGACTTTTTTTTTTTAATTTTTTTAGATTTTTTTTATTTTATTTTTTTTTTTGTTAAATAATTTAACATTTATTGCTATAAAAACAGAACAAAAGCACAGAAATCTGATACAGCTGAGTATTGTTTCCCAGGTACCGAGAATCGGAACAGAGCCGGTTCAAATGTGAAAGGTTCCCATTCCTAGTACTAGGTGTACCTCTCGCACAAAGTCAGCTGGAATAGCCTTTGGCTCACGTGAAGATAAGCGGTATGGAAAATAGATGGATGCACAAGAATGTAATAAAAGAGAATCAAAAGAAATAGTGCTTCTAAAGTGTAATAACTGTACATATTGTACTATTTGTGTGCTGTTGTTTGCCTTTAAGCGGAGCGGCCAAGCGATGGTCTTTAGGAACTGGAGTCCAGTTGTTGTCTGGGTGTGCGTTGTGTTCGTTGCAGGTCTTGGCCAGTGCTCTTGTTTTTGCATTTGTGTGCTTGACTGTTTGTCCCGTTCAATAACCCGCTAAAAGTGCATCAGCAACTGCCTCTTCTTGCTAATGTGCGGGGACATTACTGTACTGTACCTTGATCGCTCCATTTTTTAAAATTATTCTTTTTTGTAAATTATTTCAAGCGGCATGGACATGGACTGGCGGAAGGCTCTAACGCTGTTGCTCAGTGTGCTTGCCACTGGGAGAGCCAGATATTTTTTTTCCCACAACTTGGCCTAATGGGGAAACGTGTCCTAGTTGTGGGCCCACCACAGCAGCAGGTTCTGCATGGTGTGGATTTGCTGCTTCCAAATAATCACAGACCTTTCACGGACCCTGTGTGGCATGGAATAATTTCCCGCTCTCCTTCCACTTAGTGCAGGCCAAAAAAAGTCCGACTTGAGCCTGGCTTTTTTTGCCCTTGACTGGTTCTCTCTCACTTAGTAAAGCCACACATTCAGAAATAGAAGAAAATGAAATAAATGACAGTGACAGACGAGTTTTATTCAGCGCACTCATCTGGTGCTGCAAGCAACTCTGCCTCCTCCCAAAGCCGAAGCCACGTGAATGCCGACTATTGGTGCAATGTGAGAAGTGCAGTGGGAAAAGTTAACATCTTCCATTGGGGGGAAAAAAAAAAGATTGTTGTAAAGTTACGTAGCAATTGTATCAATCTTGCATACAGTTGTGGCAATATCCTTCCTTGCTGGATACATGCAGATGAATTCTGGTGGTTCTGTTCTGGCATCTGTATTATGTGGGACTTGTGTGTGAAAGAGACATTAGGTAGATGAGAGAGATATTTGAGCAGTGGCGCTTCATCACCAGATAACAGAGCAGGCATACTTTATAAGATAACTGCAGACATCTTCATATGTCTCTCCCTAAAGGAGGCTCAAACATGAATAATGTGTGTAACATGGATGTGCTGAGAACAAGAGCCTCACAGCAGCCTGGCCTAAATGGAGAGGACACCAAGACTGGGTTTAAATAATTGGAGAGATGGCATTAGTTTTAACTTGACTAGGTCAACTATGAACGTCATTAAAGTCGCCAGCATGTGCCTGTTTGTGTAAGTAAAGAAGACATTGAAAAAAGGAATCATGTAATACTATTGCAATGGCCATCAAGCGCGTTCCATTGTGTTGTTGGACTCATTCCGTGTACCCAAATTTGTGGTCATGGTTCATCCAGTTTTACCTAATGCGTGAAAGCATTTCTTCGGTGCAGTTGTGTTATCAATGGCGACCTCTAGTGGCTTTCATAATACCAGTGCCGGTTGGACTTGTCATCATATAAATTCATCTATTTTCTATACTGCTTATCCTCACGAGGGTCACGGCCCACATGTAAGCTAGAGCCTCTCCCAGCCGACTTGGGAAAGAAGTGCTGGCTACGCCCTGGACTGGTCGACAGCCAGTCACAGGGTGCGTGTAAACAAACAACCCTTCGCACTCACATTCACGCCCATGGATAATTTAAAGTCTCCAATGTATCTACCATGCAATTTTGTAGTACCCAGACAAAATCCACACAAGCACAGAAACAACATGGCACACGTTGTATGTATTTTGTATTGCATCGCGTTAAAAATAATGTTCAGTAAAGCGGGAGCCGAAAACAAAATGAAAATAATTACATTGGAGAACTACAGAAAGAACAGGAGGAAAAAGTCACATAGCTCCCCGCAATATAAAAACGGATGCATACAACATTGTGGAGCCACCCCATGCCAGCAAGTCTACTGAAAGACTAATCGGTATTAACCTGGCCCTATTTTTGTGCCCAGTACAAGTCTAGCGCAGATATAGACGAGGCCATTTGCGCCGTTGTGGGATGGAACGCAGACGATTCCCGGCCAATTGAAGCGGCCCTCCTCATTCCAATTCAAATCAGGGCGGTCGAAGCGCACACAGTGCTTTAAATGGCGGAAGCAAAAATTGATTTGCTGGGTTCTGTGCTTGAGATTAGCACGCGTGAAATGCGTTCATACAGGTAAACTGCTGGATCTCTCCTTGCTAATGAAGAAGGCAAATGCACATGTGATGTAGGCAATTGGAATCCTCCTTGCAACAACGACCGCGCGGCCATATCTTAGACTAGTGCGGGGTCAGAGAACGTATAATTGTAAAGAAAATTTTGGCCTTGACTTCCCCTTAAAATACTGTACAGGGAACTCAACATACATTAAGTATCCACATTACATCTGTGAGACATAGTTCTTCTCATTTTGTTCGCAACAGTTCAAATAGGCTTACGAGTACATTACTGTTCCTTTGTAAGTTCGCTCCGACTTTGTACTTTTGTTTTCATGATCGTAAACGGGAGACTTTACTTTGTCTTTTTCGACCAACTTTGCGATTATTTGAAAAACTGATTTCTTGACGCCACCCTGACCTCTCTGCATCTGTGTGTGTCTGTGTTGGCGTATATCTCAGCATGGACGGAGCAGACCTGTGCTTTGAGATTGTCAAGAGGGCAGATGCTGGCTTTGTCTACAGTGAAGCAGTGGCCAGGTGAGGTCAATTCCGCTTCTATTTGTAGCTTGGCCCGTCGTTTTAATTGGATTTTGATTTTTTTTTTCTTTTTTTTTTTTTTTTTCCTTCCTTAGTCACTACATGAGACAGATCCTGGAGGCGCTGCGCTACTGCCATGACAACAACGTCATCCACAGAGATGTCAAGGTACTTCTACTTCAAAAAAAAATGGGAGTGGGGGGATGTTTAAGATGCCACGTGTTTGGAAATGCTGTGGCTGCAGCATTTACTGCAATGGGAATGTTAGATGCAATTACTTTAACATCTGGAGGCTGAAAACTGCAACAGCTGCTTCTTTCCTAAAAGCGGTGCCCTCTCAGCATCTCTGATCTGATTTGTTACCTCACACCACTTCCTAATCTCATTAACATGAAGAGAAATCAGAGGGTGTCTTCAGAAAGAACTTTTCATTCATTTCAAGCCTCTTCAATAATAGATGGAAAACATTTACAGAGGAAACTGAGCTTCTCTGATGATTTGTCTCGACCTATTAGCTTCAATGTGTTCTTATGCATTTATTAATTTATGTGTATTTGGGTTGGGGGAGGGGGAAGGTCTCTACATTGACAATTCCATAAACACTAAATATGAATAATATTTAAACATTACATCTTATTGCTCTCTGGTGGCTACGACTGAATATAAGGGCTGCACTGAAAAGAGAAATAAAATGAAAATAATGTACATATTAACTGGTTGGGTTCGGTACCTCTAAAAAGGTTAAGGACCACTGTTTTATAGTCTAATTACAGTAAATTGGATGAAGATGTAAATTAACAACAAAAAAGTAATGATTTTACAGAAATATTGCCATAATTTTATCAAATCAACATCCTTTAACATCATTCTATGCCATACATACAACGGAATTATGAGCGCTGCTCCAGTGGTGAAGAGAATACCGGTAACTTAATATAAAAGCAAAAATAAAAAACAATATGTAAAGCCGCCTTAGTGGTACATAGTTCGCTTTAATTTTTTTTTCCCCCATCTGTTGTATGCATTATTGTCATACTATTGCACATCTTATTTCAATTATTCAGTATTGCACTACAGTAATCCCTCGTTTATTGCGGTTAATGGGGACCAAAACCACCCGCGATAAACGAAAATCCACGAAGTAGTGACCAATTAACATAAACAGGTAAAAAAAAAATAAAATAAAAAATTGGGGGGGGGTTAAGTCCGCAAAAAGTCCGCAAACGGTCCGCGAGAAGCTGCAAAACAACAGCGAGTCACATAGATCAACATATACAGGACTGTACTCCATGTATATTTTAAAAAAAAAAAAAAAAATTATTTTTTTTTATATGTTTGAAAAAATCCGAGATGCACTGAAGCCGCGGTAAACGAACCGCGAAGTAGCGAGGGATCACTGTCTTGTACTTGGTTGTTCGCAAAATTTAGCATTGCAAAGTCGTGGCCTATTGTCTGGAAATGTACGCTAAATGGATTAGAAGTGAAATCTAATCAATTACAACCATTCAGAGGAAAAATAACATACATATTTTAAAGTATAAGTACATCCAGGTACAAAAAAGGGAGTCAACAGGTGAATATAGCACTATAATAAGGAAAAATAGACCTTAGTAATGCACTGAAGAATAACAACATTGAATTTTTTTTTCTGAATCAATGAAGGCAGTTAAATGTGTCAAATAAGTGTATGCATAAAACAGCACGATGGAGAAAGTCATCCTGTCACCCAAATTGAGTAAGCTGCTGTCGCCAGTACCGACACATTGAAATCTGGCAGTATCTGATACCGATACCTGGTATCTGTATGCCCCCATTTCTACTCCTCATTAACTACGTTGTGCAGATAGATGTTGAATCAGGTTATAAATACAGCAGGTTTCTACTATCACCCTATAACAGAAGCTGCCGCCTTGTCCTTATCAGGGGTGCCTCCGCCAATTTCTCTCTCTCTCTCTCTCTCTCTCTCTCTCTCTCTCTCTCTCTCTCTCTCTCTCTCTCTCTCTCTCTCTCTCTCTCTCTCTCTCTCTCCACACACACACACACACACACACACACACACTCTCTTAAATTTACAAGAAAGCTGCTCGAGCGCTACAATTCCCCATGCATGAAAGTCACTGAACTGATTTAAAGCTTCGGTATTTATCTCCCTCTCTACGTCTCTGCTGCCAGCAGTTCTCTTGTGGCTGTGTGTGTGTGTGTGTGTGTGTGTGTGTGTGTGTGTGTGTGTGTGTGTGTGTGTGTGTGTGTGTGTACATTCTCAGTCGAGTTTTTTTAACACTATCCACTAGGGATGGGCAGAATTATGGTTATTTGATCATTATCATTGATAAAGGTTGATAAATGGCATCTAGAAGCCATTGAGGTTAAATGGCATGCATTACCCGGCTGTAGCTATGAGCGGCACTGTTGAGTCACTCGTAACTAGTGTGCTCTGGAAGGAAGGAAAACATGAAGTCAGCTTTGGGTCTGCAACCACGAAAACTTCTCCCAGAAGCATACATTTCCTTAACATGACATTGGTGTGGAAACAAAATTTATCATTCATCGCATGCTTATCCTCACATTTATTTATCAGGATAGACAACTAATCAGCAGCTTTTACTGTAAACAAATGCAAAACAAATGCAACCCAAGAGTTTGAGACTCTTGTTTCCTGAACGTAAAAACAACTTCCTAGTTTTTTGCCAGAATTCGAGAAACGTAATCATGGCTAAATTCGTTTGACACCTGGGTTCAACAGGTAGCTCTTATTTGTCATCACATAAGAAAATAAACGCATAGTACTGATGATAAAATGCAAAAACAGCAACATCATTCACTATTTAAATTCAGTATTTAAATTGGTTCACCAGGGCGGCCCGGTGGTCCAGTGGTTAGTGCGTCAACCTCACAGTGCAGAGGTACCAGGTTCGATCCCAGCTCCGGCCTTCCTGTGTGGAGTTTGCATGTACTCCCCGGGTTTTCTCCGGGTACTCCGGTTTTCCTCCCACATTCCAAAAACCATGCATGGCAGATTGAACACTCTTCGGTGTGAGTGTGAGCGTGGATGGTTGTTCGTCTCTGTGTGCCCTGCGATTGGCTGGCAACCGGTTCAGGGTGTCCTCCGCCTGCTGCCCAAAGATGGCTGGGATAGGCTCCAGCAAACACCCCCCCACCCCCCCCCACACACACACACAACCCTTGTAAGGATAAGCGGATCGGAAAATGGATGGATGGATGGATTGATGTTGTATTTTCAACAAAGCAGTGGTGAGTCGGAATTACTCTTCAGGTTGTAGGTGTCAGCACTATATACGTTAATGGGCCTCTATGATACAGCTGATCCAGCTTAGTCACCCCACCCAATACTCACACTCATTCTCTTGCCGAGAAATTAACATGACTGTGTAAAGCCAAGACGGGGGAAAAAAAACATGCACATTACAGCTCCAAGCTCGTGATCATTATATGTTTTAAGGGTTGAACCTCACGCTTTCATGTCTATAAAAGTGCGTCTGGTGCTTATGATCATCAAAGTTGGCCTTTGATGTCGTCTGCGTCTAGCGTTTGGCTTTCGTCTGGAAGTCTCAGTGATTGCTTTGCTGTGACTAATGGAAGAACGCTGTCTGCTTTTGGATCGCCATTGTTGTTCTTTCCAGGGCCACCTCACAGGGCGCGAACACCATCACTGAGGTCTTTTTCGTCTGACTTTACTGCTGCATTCAACAATGTTGGAGCAGCACACAAAATGCTACGGAAAAGATATAATCACTCCAATTTTTACATAGGACTGTTTGTGACCAATAAAACAAACGCAAAGAAATATAGTTTTACCTTAACTCCGCAAATAGTTAAAAAATAGTGATCCGTGATGAAATCCTTTGTCGAAAAAGAATGCGATAAGCAAACACTGTTTCAATCATTTAATCACAGCACATCTGAAAAATTTGTGTGCGCAGACGTTAACTTCTCGACCCAGTATCCAGACAGGCGGGTCCACTTTCAGCTTCCAAAAGCACATTCCCTGCAGAGTCCTTGCCAATGCCTTCTTCCTTCTCCTCTTGTTGTACTTGTTTCTTCCAGTTGCGTTGAGGTGATGTGGTGGTGTTGTGATGTTGACCTTCACACGTCCTTGCGTGCCATCAGATGTATCCACTTCTTGGAACACAATGTTTTACCATAGTTCTTGCAGCTGCACCCCCCCCCCCTCTATTGTCTTACCCCACAATTGCAATGGTTTTATGTGGTTGTAGATTCCATACAGTGCTCCTGCCACATATTCATGGCAATTCGCTACTCGTGGATTTGCATTTTTGTGGGATTTTTTTTTTTGTTGTCTTTGTGCCACATTTAGCTCTTTTTATACTCTTTCTCACATATGCTATGTTGCACCAAAATAGTGCCAAAGCTCCGTCTTAAGGCATCTGTAGACAATATTTCTTTTTTATGGGAGAGCTTCAATGACTCGCTGATTTTTGGTATTCAGGCAAAACTTGATCCACAGCCACAGTAAATTATTCTGGTTTCTAACTAATTCCAATATTAGCTACATTATTAACATTTTTAAAAGTAGAGAAATCGCTGGAGGTACACCACATGGTTGCTCCCTGGAAAACTCAGCATTGTCAAACGATTGCACGTCGCAGTTTACCGGAACACTAACTGTCATGAAAGATGATCCATTCATCCAGCCATTTTCTTCCAGTTGGGAGGCAAAGGGGCAGAAGTCTTAGTGTGGAAGCCCAGACTTCTCTCTCCCCAGCCACCTTGCCAGATAAAAGGTATTGTCGTCACATAACTAAAGGTCAACAATATCACGGAGGGAACTTGTTTACATCATGCAGTTAGACATTTCATTTGCAATACTTTTTACATGCTTTGGTCGGTGGCACTGCTTAGGCTCGCAACAGAGTTTTAGTAGTCTCAGCCATCCATCCATCGTTTTAATCTATGCTTGGACGGTAGGAAAACTACAGTTATATTTTTATGAAAATCAGCGCATGCCATAGAACTTCTCCAAGTCAGAGTTAAAACGAATTTTGAGCATCCACCACTCATTTTTTTTTTTTTTAGAACACAACAGTTGAGTTGAGTTGAGTCGTGGTTGCTGCGAGTAAAAGCATCATGACAGAAAAAGGATCGCGCTGCATTAAGGGATTCTCTGTACAACATAGTACTGCACCCCTTCTTTTTGCATATTGTTTTCATCTATACAAAATCTGAAAGTTGCTGTAGAGGGACTTTGGTAGTTGAGTTGTTGACATCTGAAATGTTATTGCATACCCCTCTTTGGGAGCCCCAGCAGTTGAACTAATAACAAGCCACAAATAAGGTCAACAAATCCTTTATTTCAAAGTCGCCGGGACATTAACTTGCCCTCTGTCAGGCCTCCCAGTTCTCCCTTCCATTTCCACTGTGGAGCTGCTCCCGCTAACTCCCACCGAAGTATCTCGTGCACGAAACATGTTTCCCATCAAGCGCCGCACCTCCTTCCTCACAGAGGACAATAAGAGGAGTAAAAGCACAGGATCCAGGCAGGTATTAAGAGCCGAAAAGAGCAACGCCAATTCATTGGCTTTGTCGGCCACGCCCTTCCAGAAGCAGGAGGTGTCTGTAATTTGGGTCTTGATGTAGAACACCCTAATCACATGATACGGGACAAAGCAGACAGTGAAGAGGAACAGGATGAAGAAGGATTTCCGGGCGGTTCTTGAGTAGCGGTGAGCGTTGGGCAAGTCGGGTTTATTCTGCGACCTCCTCAGAAGCTTGAGGGCGATCTTCACGTAGGACACCACCAAGGAGATGAACACCAGCCAGAAGACCAACAGCATGCAGATATTGATGTACGCTTTCCATTTTGCATCATGAAGCTCTTTGTAGTGGAAACACCTGGACATCCCCGAAAAGGAGAAGTTGTGTTACTTGGCATAGCATAACGTGAAAGTGAAAGGTTTTTGTTTTTCTGCCATTGTTTCAGTCCAAACCCTGAATATCAAAACTGACTGTGCAGAACGCCACAACGGGGAACTGCCATGGTTTAACCATTGTGCTGATTTTTGCGCAATTTTACACTTTTCCATCAAAAGTGTCCGTTACTGCACCACTAATGCGTTACATTAACATACGTGCAAATTCTAAACTCTGTCCAGATTTGGGTTTTTCCCGGGACTGCATTCAGTTGGTGCAGTCAATTTGGTAACACTGTTTTCTGTACGTTAAACCTTAAAATCACTCTCACTTGTACATGATTGCTGTCATGTATTATAAGTATACCTTTATTCATAGAAGCCACAATTCCGCCAAGTGGACCGGTTTCACTTCTGCTCGCTTCTGGAGAAATAGAATCGATGCACCTTTCTAAACGATGCGGCTTGTGCGATGACAGACTGGTCTTCTCTTTTGACCAATCACCAGAGTGCTTTTCGCCCAACTGAAACTTGGGGGTACTCTGGTTTTCGCACCAGAAAAAGCCAAGAAATGTGAAGATGCTGATGACTTCTTTTGCTCAGCAAAAGGCCAACTGGCAGTAAACGATGGCTCAATTATTTTGCAACGGAAAAGCCAAGAAATTGCGAAACCCAGCTCACTTATTTTGTTTCCGAACAGCCAGGGAATAGTGAGATGGAGATGACTTGTTTTGATAGCAAAAGGCCAAAAAGTGGTTATTTTTATTATATGAATATTTCAAGGTCAGGACCACGTATTTTGCAAGCGAATGGCCAAGACATAGTCGTGCACTTATTTTGCTATTGAAAGGCCAAAAATTGGAAGTTGTTGGCTACTTATTTTGCTACCAGTAATGGACACACAGAAAATTGACGACTAACAGTGCGGGTCTGCAAAAACCGTCACCAACCTGTTCACCTGCGATGGAGTCTTTGGCATGAAGAAGGCTGAAGCCAAGCCAAAGGCAACGATCCAGATCGCCACACAGATAGCAGTGCTTCGTCTGGTGGACTGCAGCCTGCTCTGTGCCAGAGTTCCCCGGTGGATCTTCAAGTAGCGATCCACGCTGATCAGCCCCAGCAGCGTGATGCTGATGTACATGTTCATGTAAAAGAAGTTGCCCACCACGTTGCACAGCGTAGGCCCCAGGGTCCACACGTTTCCCCGGGCATGGTAGAGAATCCTGAACGGCAGACAGACCACCAGGAGAAGGTCGGCGAACGCCACGTTGATGAGGAAAACTCGCACCGAGTTCCGTTTGGAGCGCACGTGGAACAAAGCCCACAGGGCCACCAGATTCCCAAGCAGACCCAGAGCAAAGATGACGGAGTAAAGCACCGCAAGTGGCCACCGTAGCGCGTCGTAATCGACACAAGGCTGCTGAGGGTCAGGCGCCATTGTCAAGTTTATCCCATTGACAAAAGGGGAAATGGATGTCTGAAGATCAGCTGACATGATGTAGGGAGAGTGACGATCTTCCAGCCTGAAACAAAACAAATATTTCAGTGTCTTTCCAAATGTCATGCTAATATTCCCATGCCATTATAAATTGTAAATCCGCCCCTTAGTTAAACGGTAAATATACCATAATACTTTATTATCCTAATGGCTTCATATATAATGGCTTACAGATGCTTTCATTTTGAAAAAAAAATGTCTCCATACGTGTCCACCCACAGGAAGTGAAAATGTAGGAAATGATGGGGGCTGCTACTTTCCACTTGATGTTGGGAGTGTGTATGTGGGGAATTTTCTTTTGGATTTCATCCCAAGGGTGTTTGATGGGATTCTCATTTTCTTGGACAAAACTCATCTAACACTTGCAACTTGCGAGTTCACTATGTATAACAACAAAGTCCTAAATATCTTGATAAGATGAAGAATTTGATTAAGGTTTCCTGAATTGGGCCACGCTACAGTTGCCTTTGTGTTTAAGTGAAATGTTGTCCATTTTATTGATCATTTGAAGGTAGCACTGTTTTGGGTCTTTTTTTTTTGTTTTTTTTGATACATGAAAGAAATTGTCATCTTTGTCCTTTGTCATTACTTTATGCTCCGTCTAAAGTCACTGTGAGCTGAGACCTTTGAGCAACAGGTGGGGTACACCACGGACTGGTCAGCAGCCAATCCTAACATTTAATCATTATTTAGCCTCTAACATAATTAACAACTCAACAACAACAAAAAAAAAACATTATCAATAGTTTATGTAGGATGTACTCACCCAGTCATTAAAATCCATGAACAATGGTCTTTCAGCTGTTCCTATGTGCTCAGTCCACTTCCTCTGTCAGAACTACACTTTACTACTTCCACTCTGAGGAAGACTCGTTTCTCAACATCTCATCAGGATTCCTGTACTCCATCGGGTAGCTTCGAACCCCAGCGGTTCCAGCGAAGCGAGAGAAATTCTTTTGTTCCCTCTTCCATTCCCAAGGCTGCGGCTCACGTCCGCGTTACCCCTGCCCGCGTGCGCCGTCGAAAGTCAACAGAGAATTGCTGACATCTAAAATGTGGTGATGTCGCTCAGAGAAAATGTTGGGCTGTGGTCAACTTTTCTATTTTCTTGCCACTTGTAGTCCCGATACAGACAGAGAGAGAGAGAGAAAGAGAGAGAGAGATGGGGGGTGTGGGGGGGCAGCTGGACTGAATTCACAAGTTCTGGTTACACACATGAGTGCAAGTGGCGGTAGCGTGCATCATGCACAACTTGTACAACACAATACGCTTTCCATTCCTGCTTCTTATTATAAAACAGCGACAGTATGTGCTGATTATAGACATTTTGAAAAGATTCAAAATGCTCCTAAAATACAATCGCACTACAATAGTACACTGGGCAAGACACGTATATTGTATTACTTCTTTGTCTATTTTTAAAACATGGCGGCATGCATTATCCATCCCAATTGTTTACCTTTTTCTGGTATCTTTAATGCAAACACGTTTCAAGATTTGCTGGTATCATATTTCACTGTTGAATTACTTCATAAGAAAAAAGTAACAGGAACAAACATTGAGACACCTTTTGAGACTGTTCGGGTTCCCTGTGAAACAAACCTGGTCGCTCTAGTTCTAGATTTTATTTCCAGGGAGTATGTTAGAGTGGTAATGTTGCTGTGACTAACGTGATAAATGATGGCATTCACGTCAATGTTGGAGGCATCTGACATTCTATAATACCGTAAATTTCCTGATAGGCCTCGAATTAGCAATGCTGTGTTTCAAAAGAAGGCAGATCTTTTTTTTAACTGGCTTTCATTTTGATAACAGTGGACCGTATGTATGATAGTGCTAGGGGCTTTTAATTCTTTTTCGACCATTTTAATAAACAGTCCTGGTGAAATGTCTCCCACTGTGAATATTAACCGGCTAAAGTACTTCCTCTTCTTTATTTAATTGAAGAAGCCATAATTCACATGCGTTAAGAAACATCCATCCATCCATCCATTTTCTGATCCGCTTTATCCTCACAAGGGTCACGGGGCGTGCTGGAGCCTAACCCAGCGGTTTCCGCCAGTAGGCGGGGGACACCCTGAACCGGTTGCCAGCCAATCGCAGAGCACACAGAAACGAACAACCATCTGCGCTCACACTCACACCTTGAGACAATTTAAAGTGCTCCATTAACCAGCCATGCATGTTTTTGGAATGTCTGAGGAAACTGGAGTACCTGAAGAAAACCCACACAGGCACGGGGAGAACATGCAAACTCCACACAGGAAGGCCGGAGCTGGAATCAAACCCTGTGAGGTTGATCCGCTAACCACTGGATCACCGAGCCAGCCGCCTGTTAAGAAACAGCTAAATTCCAATATGTAACATTTTATTTCTGTACATTTCTGTCATTGTTTACATTTTCAAATGATCATTTCTACAACAGTCGTAGACAATCACTCTATGTTCCATCGCTGCTGAGCTATTTTTAGAACCGGCCCGCGGGCTACTCTTGGGGGCTCCCCAGTACCTGCAGCCACCATGTTGGTGATCCCTGTTACAGCGGATGGAATGACTCTTCCCTCTTTTGAGTTAAATGTATCTAATGAAATTTAAATTGAATATTTAGACATAGCCTGCAATTTATATTTACAGGGGGAATTCTTCTCATGTTTCATTTTTTTGTTTGGGCTGACCACTTGCTTTGTTTTGATGAAGTCAAGCTCGCATTGGCGTGTTATGGCCGATCTTTATATTTATTTCTTTTACTCACATTGGCAGATATTTGATGTTTATCAAATGTGATTGATCATTTGGAAAAGTCCTGGTTCTGATCTGAAGGTATGATCTGTTGGAGTCCATTTTTACCTAATATATGCCAAACAAAATCTCCAAATAAACATCATTTGGAAAAGCCCTGGTTCTGATCTGAAGGTATTCACTTCCGTGTTTAGTTTTCTTTATACTGATATTACGCAAATTCGAATTGTGCCACTTGAGAGCAAAAAAAAAAAAAAATTATAAAACTGAATTGTCACTTGAGTACCCATGGCAGTTTAAATCTAGTTTTGACCATGCTACCTTAGAATGAGCTGCCAGTCACCCGCATTTGTTTATTCAAGAAGTAGAAGTAGGAAGCTCCATGTTTGTTCCTCCCTGCACTAAAAGCTTCTCTCGTTGCCGACTTTGTGCGTACGCTTGATGTTGATTTTCGGGCGTGTGATTAATGTTATTTATAGGAGGGTGTCACTCTTCAGTTAACCAGAACCGACCACAAAAATCCTTTCTGTCTCTCTTCTCACTCAGCCTCACTGTGTGCTGCTGGCGTCCAAGGAGAATTCTGCTCCCGTCAAGTTAGGGGGCTTTGGAGTGGCAATCCAGCTGGGAGAGTCAGGGCTGGTGGCTGGAGGTACATGGAAGACTTTTAACCTCCTCGTCTCAGACACTTCAGTAGCAACTTGGGAGCCGGGGGGGGGGTGGTTTCTATGCCAAATAATCTCATCCAGAGTATTTTCAAGAGCAAATAACATTTGGTAAACTCACCTTGTTGGATGTGCAGGTCGCGTAGGAACGCCCCACTTCATGGCGCCTGAGGTAGTGAAGAGAGAGCCTTATGGAAAACCCGTGGACGTGTGGGGCTGCGGCGTCATTCTCTTCATCCTCCTGTCAGGGTGTCTGCCCTTCTACGGCACCAAAGAGCGTCTCTTCGAAGCCATCTGCAAGGGGAAATACAAAGTGAGGACATTACACGAGGCATTTAACATCGGGTGCTTTCACATTTATACAGTGTTCTCTCACGATATCGCAGTTCATTGTTTGCTCCGGAGGTGTTCGTTTGCACAATATAATCTTACTGCAAGAGTTGCACTGAGACGACCGGTCATTTATTTGATCAAAGCTAAGTTACACCTTCGTTCGGCATGGTTACGCCAAACGCCCACGCACTTCTTCTTTGCTGGTTAAGCTGCTTCATGTCTGCGCACGTGGTAGATTAGCAGACAGCGACTCGACTGTGCTGAGAAACACGCTTTGGGGATCAAAATTTCCTTTCCTTCCTTGTGTGATTTTGAATCACTTGCCATTATGCTTCATAGAGCCAGTCTTGTCTTATGTTGCATAGCGGAAGATAGACCTACAGTACCCTCCGTAATTACTGGCACCACTGGTTAAGATGTGTCAAAAATAAATTCAACCAATCCATTTTCTGATCCGCTTATCCCCACAAGGGTCGGGGGGGTGCTGGAACCTATCCCAGCCACCTTCGGGCAGTAGGCGGGGGACACCCTGAACCGGTTACCAGCCAATCGCAGGGCACACAGAGAAGAAAAACCATCCACGCTCACACCTACACCTAGGAACAATTTAGAGTGTTCAATCAGCCTGCCATGCATGGTTTTCCGGAGTACCCGGAGAAAACCCACGCAGGCCTGGGGAGAACATGCAAACTCCACACAGGGAGGCCGGAGCTGGAATTGTACCCGGGACCTCTGCACTGTGAGGTCGACGCGCAAACCAGGCCACCCCCTCAAAAATAAATTACAATTTTAATCCCAGGAGCATACTCTCATGCTGAAAATTGGAGATATGGTTTATCAGACACCGAATCAAGCTCCTTCGAGGGCCATCTCAGTACCCAGACTTAATCCCCATTGAAATCCTCTGGGGTGAGCTGAAGAAGAGAGTTCAGAGCAGAGGTTGCTGGATGATTTCGAGAGATTGTGTGAGCAGGAATGGTCAAAGGTCCCTCTTTAAGTGTTCTCCCACGTTGTGAAACATTATAGGAGATTAGATGGGGCTTCGTTGGCAAAAGGGGTTGTACAAAGTATTAACATCAAAGGTAGCTATGCACATGATTTGATGTCAGTTAATTATTTCTCACTGTGGGACTTTTTTCCTACACTGAATAAATGTACTTGAATTAAAGGTTGGATTTTCTTCTTTTTTTTTATGTGGTCATATATTATTTAGACAAAAACTGAATTCACGAGAAGCTAAACAACACATCTTAACTAGAGGTGCCAATAATTATGGAGAGCAATGTGCAGTATATATTTTGCAAATGACCATGTTTACACGTTTGCTGTATTCCGAGTGTTAAAACTGTTACGACAAAGTGTCTTGAGTTCCAAGCACAGCCATGTCATGAATTATACTCGTATCTCAAGGCACCACTGATGCTGTCTGGCATATATTTGCCACAATGAACAAGGGTTCACTGTAACTCCTCCATGGAAGATGATTAAGTTGCGCAGTCCTACCACACTTTAACACAGATGAACCCGCGGCAGTGGAGTCAAATCTCAGAGAGCGCTAAAGATCTGGTGAGGCGCATGCTGATGCTGGACCCTGCCGAGAGGATCACCGTTTATGAGGCCCTCAACCATCCTTGGCTCAAGGTAGGACCCCCTACTTGTCACGAGTATGTTTGACTTTTTAACCAAGGTTCATTCCGCTTGTTAAAAAAATATATATTTTATCTTGAGACAGAATTTCTGGATGATCTGTTGGAGTCCATTGTTACCTAATATATGCCAAACAAAATCTCCAAATAAATGTTGCATCAGATGACTAATTGTCGGAAGGCAAGATGAGGGATGGGTTGGGTGAAAAAAGTACGGTAAATGGAGTGATGCCATGGCATTGCCAAAACATCCGTACTTGCCCCCGGAGCATATATGCGTAGTATGTGAGGATTGCTTCGATTTGCTGTGATCATTGAATATTGTCGACTCATTATAGTCTTGCACAATTTTGTGTTTCTAACGGAACTTGAAATCTCAGCACAGGCCAAAAATAGTATCTCTTTCTGTCAGGGTTTTTCTCGGACAAAGTTAAAGAAATGACTCGGCACACAGGGAAAATTGTCTTCAAGATCAGCGGGAGGTATTTCTGAGGGTGAACGACAGTAGTTGCCCCGATGATCACGCTCAGAGTTCCCGAGCCGCCAGTTTGACCTTTTATTGTCACATATGCAAAATACAAGAAAAACATTGCCCCGATATTTGCGTACCTCGCCCCCGGTCCGGCCCCTTGGTAGTGATTGGTTACCTTGGTTTAAGCTTTGAACCACCGATACGTTGACGCCTTTCTGTCTGGTCTACAATGAATCAACAAGTTGCAGACTTTGCAGGCGACATATGTCGCCTGGGCGCAACGGGTGTTCTCAAATCGTCTTTTGTTGTTCAACAACGCTTTGTGGACCTGAAAAGCCCTCCACCCAGATGGCCGGCGCCTTTGCGCACATGCATTTGGGGGCGCTGGATACGCACCCAAACGTTTAGACGTGCCCAAATTAAATGAAACTTTAAACATGATACAATTTTGCTCATAGATTTCTCTATAACTTTCTAAACTTTTGTCGAAGTTATGAGAATTATTCTCCTAGATTAGTTTCATCTGAGCTTCATTTGAACTGTAGGTGGCAGTAAAGTGCATTTTTTTTGTCTATTGCAGGAAAGAGACCGGTACGCCTACAAGATCCACCTGCCAGAGACCGTGGAGCAGCTGAGAAAGTTCAACGCCAGGAGGAAGTTGAAGGTATACAGCATGGATACAGTTATAATCAAAATCATGAGCCCCTCTCACTAAATCAAATAAAACCTACCGGTAATTTCTCCTATGACAGGGGTGCCCAACCTTTTTTGACCAAAGATCGACTTTTCAAGCCAACCAACCTTCCGCAATTGACCATTACCGCACATGCACGCATACACGAATGCATGCCATGATGAGCAACAGCCGTCACGGCCCCTAACATGAACGAAACAAATGAAGTCGATACAAGAGTTTGCGAGTTTGTGAAAAGGAAATCACTGCCTACCTTCGTGGCAGACCAAATGCGGAGGCATGGGACACACCGTTGCAGTGTGTTAAATGCATCACTATCATAGGTCACGTGTAGCGTTTTCAAATGTTTCTCCTGGCGCTTCATATTCCCATTCTTTGCCAGTGTCATCGGTGAATTGTAGATGAAACAAACCGAATAAGAATAAGAATTTAAACAGATATAGCCCAACAGCTCTGATCTCAAGCTGCAATTGCAGACTGCTGACCGCTAACAACTTCCGGTGATGGAGGCCACGCGCCAACGTAGGTTAACGGTGACCTGCTTTTTTATTTTCATTTTATTTTTAAATCCTTTTTTGTGGAAGTGAAACTGATGCTAAACCCCTTCAGGGACAGTGGTTACGACAGTGGACAGCTTATCATGTTATGGATGTGAGGATTGCTTCGATTTGCTGTGATCATTGGATATTGTCGACTCATTATAGTCTTACACAATTTTGTGTGTTTCTAACGGAACTTGAAATCTCAGCACAGGCCAAAAATAGTATCTCTTTCTGTCAGGGTTTTTCTCGGACAAAGTTAAAGAAATGACTTGGCGAACAGACTAATTGTCGGAAGGCAAGATGAGGGATGGGTTGGGTGAAAAAAGTACGGTAAATGGAGTGATGCCATGGCATTGCCAAAACATCCGTACTTGCCCCCGGAGCATATATGCGTAGTATGTGAGGATTGCTTCGATTTGCTGTGATCATTGAATATTGTCGACTCATTATAGTCTTGCACAATTTTGTGTTTCTAACGGAACTTGAAATCTCAGCACAGGCCAAAAATAGTATCTCTTTCTGTCAGGGTTTTTCTCGGACAAAGTTAAAGAAATGACTTGGCACACAGGGAAAATTGTCTTCAAGATCAGCGGGAGGTATTTCTGAGGGTGAACGACAGTAGTTGCCCCGATGATCACGCTCAGAGTTCCCTATCCGCCAGTTTGAACTTTTATTGTCACATATGCAAAATACAAGAAAAACATTGCCCCGATATTTGCGTACCTCGCCCCCGGTCCGGCCCCTTGGTAGTGATTGGTTACCTTGGTTTAAGCTTTGAACCACCGATACGTTGACGCCTTTCTGTCTGGTCTACAATGAATCAACAAGTTGCAGACTTTGCAGGCGACATATGTCGCCTGGGCGCGACGGGTGTTCTCAAATCGTCTTTTGTTGTTCAACAACGCTTTGTGGACCTGAAAAGCCCTCCACCCAGATGGCCGGCGCCTTTGCGCACATGCATTTGGGGGCGCTGGATACGCACCCAAACGTTTAGACGTGCCCAAATTAAATGAAACTTTAAACATGATACAATTTTGCTCATAGATTTCTCTATAATTTTCTAAACTTTTGTCTAAGTTATGAGAATTATTCTCCTACATTAGTTTCATCTGAGCTTCATTTGAACTGTAGGTGGCAGTAAAGTGCATTTTTTTTGTCTATTGCAGGAAAGAGACCGGTACGCCTACAAGATCCACCTGCCAGAGACCGTGGAGCAGCTGAGAAAGTTCAACGCCAGGAGGAAGTTGAAGGTATACAGCATGCATACAGTTATAATCAAAATCATGAGCCCCTCTCACTAAATCAAATAAAACCTACCGGTAATTTCTCCTATGACAGGGGTGCCCAACCTTTTTTGACCAAAGATCGACTTTTCAAGCCAACCAACCTTCCGCAATTGACCATTACCGCACATGCACGCATACACGAATGCATGCCATGATGAGCAACAGCCGTCACGGCCCCTAACATGAACGAAACAAATGAAGTCGATACAAGAGTTTGCGAGTTTGTGAAAAGGAAATCACTGCCTACCTTAGTGGCAGGCCTAATGCGGAGGCATGGGACGCACCATTGCAGTGTGTTAAATGCATCACTATCATAGGTGTAGCGTTTTCAAATGTTTCTCCTGGCGCTTCATATTCCCATTCTTTGCCAGTGTCATCGGTGAATTGCAGATGAAACAAACCGAATAAGAATTTAAAAAGATATAGCCCAACAGCTCTGATCTCAAGCTGCAATTGCAGACTGCTGACCGCTAACAACTTCCGGTGATGGAGGCCACGCGCCAACGTAGGTTAACGGTGACCTGCTTTTTTATTTTCATTTTATTTTTAAATCCTTTTTTGTGGAAGTGAAACTGATGCTAAACCCCTTCAGGGACAGTGGTTACGACAGTGGACAGCTTATCATGTTATGAGGTTGTGCAAGGTGCATGAAAGGGTTAAGGTGTAGTGTACACTAACACAAATATATACAATATATTAAATATGTGTGTGTGTGTGTGTGTGTGTGTATATATATATATATATATATAAATAACACGCACACAGACTCAACCCCCCCCCCCTACAACCCCTGGGTTCGACTTCAGACCACTCCACGGGCTACCGGTCGATCACGATCGACTGATTGGGCACCCCTGTCCCAGTCTTAAGAGTTTTGTTTGCATTCACAAGAATAAAGACGACGAAACAAGACAATAAGCACACACACAAAATGCATGGCCATAATGATGACGACTCTGACATTTAATCAAAAGTTTAGAACGCAATTTTGGGGCTCGCTTTCTTCTAGTAATCTTGATTCATTGTAATTAATTTCATTTATTGGCAATAGCAGCCAATCCAACTCCAGTCACTTAGTAGGCCACGCCCCTCAAATGTCCAAAAACTTAACAATTACCACAGTATGTCCAAACATACACTTTAGAAAAACTGTTTTGTTTTGTTTTCTTTTTACTTTATTTCATTATGAGTTATGTTTTTATATGATACAGTACTATGTTTCATTATTGCAAATGCAAAACAAAAATATTGTGATTTTTATGAGGGGAGCTGGAACATATTAATGGCGTTTCATTTAATTTCAATGTGGAAAATGTATTTGATACACAAGTAATTTGTGTCAGGAGCTTTGTGACAGAACAAACACTCGTAAGTCAAAGTACCACTGTATTGCTTAAGATGAGCATCGGCCTTTTGCTTTCTGGCTTGATATTACTTGTCACGATTTGGGGGCACCGCTAGAGTTGTCTCGCATGGTCAGGTGAAACTAACGATATTACTTGTCACGATTTGGGGCAACGCTAGAGTTGTCTCGCATGGTCAGGTGAAACTAACACTGCTTCTTGCCATTGTTGAAATACAATTCAATCAGTGGTAACTGATTGACCAGGTTTGGTTTCAAGCCTAATTGACAACTTAGGTCTGGTTCCTGAAAGCAAAATCAAATGCGGCTACTGTTTTTGTCCATCTTTGATTAACACTTTCTTCTTTAAAAAGAAATCTTGAATCTTGACCTGATTGAACATTGCATAATTGACCAAAAGGAAGATATAAGTACGGGCAGTATTTTTAACATTCAAAAGTGCGAATCGGGCTAAACCGTTTGACCGCGACTGTATACAATATTTGATGATGTTACCATCACAATGGAGGATGCTCACCTGCGTGTGGTGTTTCAGGGGGCGGTACTGGCAGCAGTGTCCAGTCACAAGTTTAATTCTTACTATGGAGACCCCCCTGAAGAACTCCACGACTTCTCAGATGACCCCACCTCCTCAGGTAAATTTTTAAACTTGTGTTCTGTTTTTGGAACTGAACAACACACCTGCAGTGAATTTATAAAATAACAGCCATAGCAAATCAAAACTACATCCAATGCATAAACTATTAAAGATAGTTTCAATATACAGGATGACGTTGAGGTGTACAGACCAGTCTTTCCCAAACTTATGATGACATGCGTCCACTGAAACACCCCAACATAATTGGTCACTCCACCACACCGGCACGCGCACCCCCTCAAAAAAAGCCTATTTTGTCATGTTCCGCAATAATCCGGAAAGGGGTGGATCCCAAAAACGTAAACAAGGATAAAAATCGCTTTTGACAAAAAGGTTTATTTACAACAAAGGTTGCAAGACCGACAAAATACAAATGAGATCACTGATCCGCAGGGCCTGGAAAACTGTAGATAACAAAAAGCTCATGCACGCGGCAAGCAAAAAAAAAAAAAAACAACGTAAATTGCTTGTCAAAAACACAAGTAAATCCTATAGAGAATGAAATACAAAACCAACCACACTGTAAATAAAAACCTAAAATAGAACAATTACGAAAACTAAGACTACGGCAAAAAGCACAAGAATGAGAGCGTCCAGAGCAGTGGTTCTTAACCTTGTTAGAGGTACCGAACCCAACCAGTGCATATGCACATTCACCCTTAATTAGTGAAACATAAAAATATGATTCAAGAAGTGTTCCTTCAGTTTTGAGTTGCTCAACTTGGCAAGACAAATCATGCACATAGGATGCCGAGTCCCATCACGTTCCATGATGGCTGTTTGAAAGTGCTTTATAAATACAGTTGAGTTGAGTGATGCATGTGAATCCATGTACATATTCGTCCGACCACTTTCTTTTTTTGCTCGACATAGCATGTATTAAAATTCTAAAAAGAAAATCATATGACGTATTATCACGACAGTCACATGTTGACGACTGAATGAACTAAATTTCCCGTAGCACTGATTGGACAAGCAATGTAATGTGATCATATGCAACGGGCGTGTCATAACTAATTGACATGTTGAGTCGGTGTGTCTTAACTTCCATGGCAGAGGCTCCGTCGAACCCCTGAGACCGATTCACCGAACCCCTGGGGTTCGATTGAACCCAGGTTGAGAGCCACTGGTCTAGAGAATTGCACTTGGTACGAAGAACCAGAGCAAGGCAAATAATCCGACAGAGACATGAGCGCACAGCAGTCGTGGAGTAGTCCAAGACGTTGACCACCAAATTTAAAACAGCTGCATCGCTGACGGGACCGCCCTCCACTCCAGCTGGACCTGAAAACCAAACACAAAAACAGATCAAGACATGACATCTTTATAGTCAATGATGATCTGCAATGTCAATGCGAGCCTGACACAACCTGTCAATAACATATGTGCAACCAAACAACGAAACCCACACTCGCTTTATAAAAACTCCCATGCTAAATCCAAATTACATTACACATAATGATTAAATGTGGTCTAAATATACTACAATGGAAGTGTGTCCCATCTCGGGTTGTCACAAACGAATCTTTTTGGAATCGATTGGCCTCCATCGTATAGTGACGGGGCGTATTGTGACCAAGATTACGTTTGTTCAATTCACTTAAATCCACTATTTTAAAGCTGTGTTGTTGTGACCTCTAGCAGCAGTTGTCCAGTAAGCAGCCGGCGGCTCATTGTCATGCGGGTCACATTCCCACGTTAAAGTCTCCAGTCTCCATCTGTTATATCAGGGGTGTCAAACTCATTTTTGTAGCGGGCCTGATTTTAGTTACAATTTCCATTGGAGGGCCATTACGACTGAAACCATGTACAGAAGTCAAGAATAATGGTTTATTCACTTACTGTTTAAGTTACTGTAATGAGGGATTTGGTCACAAGAAAATGCTTTCAGTATCACTTTTATTTATTACAAATGAGAATTTGAAATTTTGGTAGCGATTTTAGCAAGCATCATGAAAGTTGACATCTTTCATTTGCTTTCGCGAGCTACATAAAATGATGTGGCGGGCCAGATCTGGCCCCCGGGCCTTGAGTTTGACACCTGTGTCTTAAAGCGACCTCAAACCTTTGCCATCATTTTATTCTAGCTTTGTTGTCGGAAGAGTCCGTCCGTCTGCAACAAATGTCCATGCGGAAACACGAAAGTGGGCAAGCATTGGTTCCGGGTGCCGCAAATATAAAAAAAAAAATAAATTTGTAACATTTTCAAGGCATGCATTTTTGTCTCAACCAATTTTGTGGTCGAGAACCGAGTATGACTTTTGTTTACAGCCCTAGTCGTCTCCTTTTAATACGAGCCTGACGTCATAGAAGGGTGTTGTTAGTCTGTGACAACATGCACGACGACGGTAAATTAAATGTCAATGTAAGAATGAAATCATGTCGAATAAACGCCTAAACAACACACCAACAGTGACATGAGAAACACCCACCTCTATGGGAACGACCTCATCAGGCATGTCTTTGGTGTCTATTTCTTTCTTCTTTTTTTTTTTATTTTTTTTATTTATTTTTTTTTTACAATCCTTTGTTTTTCTGCTTCTGTTAATGCTTCCCCCGCCTGCAGGGCTGCTCGCAGCAGAAAGTATGTATCTTTATATTTTTTATGCCGTGTGATGACTCCTTCCAGCTACTCTGAAGTTTGTCGATAGATATTTGAAGATATGCTTTGATGCTTTGCAGGAGCTGTTTCTCAGGTGTTGGACAGTTTAGAGGAAATCCATGCGTTGACTGACTGCAGTGAGAAGGATCTCGACTTCCTGCACAGTGTTTTCCAGGATCAACATTTACACACACTGCTTGACGTAAGTCCGTCACGTGTGATTGCCTGTCTTTTGGCGATCCACTGTCTTTAGAATAGAATTGTATGTATAGTGCGTGCGTGCATGTGTGTGTGGGTGTATAATAGCCCCCATCACTCATGTTGTTGACTTTGATGCTAGTCTCTTAACAAATCAACAGCACCATATAAGGTCACAAAAGCACACACAAACTGCATTTTACATCAATTATATTTTGGATGAGGTCATCCTTATGACTTTTCTGTTTTCCCTGTAATTTAATTTGGTTGAAATTCTCTCTCTCTCTCTCTCTCTCTCTCTCTCAAATGTAATTCATGCTTTCTTCTTTCATGTTATGTGGATAATTGCATATAATTCGCACATGCTTGGTGTCTTTTATCTTTTCATTTGAAAAATGATTTCTTTTTGGGAACTGGCATTCTGGCATTTGACAAACAACTCCAATGGTATGAGAAACATATTACTCCAAACGTTTATTTTTATCCAAAGAAACATTTTTTTCCTTTCTTTCTGATAAAAAGAAAGAACTCTCAAAATATGGTGGCCTTTTTCATATTAGGATGTGATAATGTACAGTTGACTGTACATATTACAGTCGGATGATGCCGGTGGGTTGAATCGTGGTTGTTGACAAGCATGCATTCCATCTAGTTCACTCCTTAACATTAGTCACTACTTCAAAGTTCTGGAGTTATGCATACGGTACATGTAATACAAATATCAGAAGCAATCGTAGCAGGCAAACAAAATTTATTTAAGATAGATTAAACTTTTTTAAAATAAGTAAACAAAACTGAAAAGTAAGGCATGCAAAATTATGTGGCTCCCCTGAGTTTATATTTTGTAGGAGCACGTTCTCTTCTGGGTTGTGTCTCTATAATTTGGGGCTGATATGTTCAGGGTATTACTTTCACGCCAAACAGAGCACCGTCTTCCACATGCGTGGTGTGAATCCCTTATGGCAAACTTCAAACGGGACTTTTTATAGTGGTCTTTAAGAAAAGCTTTTATTCTTGCCACTCTTCCATAAAGGCCAGATTTGTGACCTCTGTTGTCCAATAGACAGATTCCCCACCTCAGCTGTCGACCTCTGAATCTGAATTTCATTCCACTTCACAAATGTGTCCCACTCTTTGTTGATTCTTCATACAGAATTCCAATTTTACATCTTTGTTTGAAGCCGTAATGTGATAAAAGATCAAAAAGTTGAACGGGGACGAATACAAGCCACTACAGCTCTCCAAATGACACCATAATGGCCAATATTATAATACAGTAGTGTAGTAGGCCTACCTGTTCATCAAAAACAAGACAAGTTTTATTCTTAAAAGGTGTATTTCGTCTTATTGCAAGCTACTCTAACATGATGCAGTTTGAACATTCACACTTATTGTGCTTAACTCATTCATTGTAAATTTCCCCAATGTGGGACAATAAAGGATATCTTAATCTTAATCATTCAAACCCTTTGACGTCTAAAAGCATCAATTAACGCATAGTCCCCGCCTCCCCATGACGTCTAAAGGCCTCAATCACGTTTTTTCATGGGGGAGGATGCAAGAGAGTCTGATGCAACTTCTCACTGAAGGAGCAGGCTTGACTGCAAAGGATGCAAGAGAATCTGATGCAGCTTCTCACTGTGAAAGAGCAGGCTTGACTGCAATGTTAAATAGTAAAAAAATGGCCAGCAGGTGTCAGTGGTGCAAAAGTCCACCATTGTTCAATTTGCACTTTCGTTCATAGTTCAATAGTTTTGTTATGTGCAAATAAATTATTTAGCTATAAAAACATTTTTTGTAATGTTGTTTTGTAGGAGAAATACATTATTGAGGTATCTGAGCTGTCACAAAAGCAAAAAGTAGTGTCAAACTTGAAATTATCCTTGAAATGCATGCTTTTACAAAAAGCTCATTTTCTCTGGATTTCTGAAGAAAATCGGCCTTTTCCATAAAACTTAGCTGATTGCCAACGACCGGAGAAAGACAGAAACAAACTCTTTTTCTGCTGAAAGAAGAGAGTCTCACCTTTCTTCTGACAGCATGTTTATATAGCCGTAGAACAGAAAATTCTGTGGGCTTTGCAAAATTCAGTAAAATGTGAGGGATTGAGGGGGTTGCTCCAGTGAAAAGGGTGGTATTCAATTAGTTAAGTAAAAGAAAATGAAAAAAAAAGTCATGTTGAATTGATTTAAAAGTATTCCACATAAAATGTGACTGACATTCTGACCAAAATGCATTTTTCTGAATGGTTTCATGGAAATACATTAAACTTAAAAGTTAAATAAAACAGAACTGTACTTAACAAATATGTTGTACTGGATTTAAAAAAAGGGCGACACGGTGATCAACCGGTTAGCATGTCCGCCTGACAGTGCAGAGATGCAGGGTTCGATTCCGGCTCCGGCCTTCCTGTGTGAAATTTGCATGTTCTTCCCGTGCCTGCATGTGTTTTCTCCAGGTACTCTCACTTCCTCCGACATTCCAAGAATATGCATGGCAGGTTAATGGAACACTCTAAATTGTCCCTTGGTGTGATTCTGGGAGCGAATGGTTGTTTGGCTATGTGCCCAGCGATTGGCTGCTCAGGGTGTACCCCACCTACTACTCAAAAACAGCTGGGTTAGGCTCCAGCATGCCTGCGACCTTCGTGAAGAAATCACATTAGAAAATGGATGGAAGACTTAAAAAAAGTTGAAGCGATTAGGCGCAGTTTGAACATTTCTTTCAGTGATTATTTTGAGTGCCACTAGAGGGAGCCCGAGTAAAACCAGTAGTACTCGTAAAACACTTGTCTATACGGAACCTTTTTTCAACCACAATATAATAAAAGTCTGTCGACCTGTCTCGGAACGTCTCTGGCAGTATCGTAAACAATAGGAGTGTTGCTTGGCAGTACATCGATGGTCATGTATTTCTTGATGAAGCTATTAGAGAAACATGTTACCAGAAGAAACTCACAGTGATACATGGACATATAGTCATTGCTTTGACAAGAAAGCACATGACATCCAATATAATGGATCTTGGCAAAACATGTGCCCATCAGTACGAAGAGTCTTGTAAACAAGAAAATATGGGCATTGTAGCAAATTTCGTAGTGTCCATGCTCGGCCTGGAATGGTGAAGTGGATTGTAGTGACGTGTCAGTGTGGGCGCCTTGCACGTTTCCACGTCGTTTCTGTTTGGAGCGGAGCGGCGAGAGAGTCGGAACAATGGCGTTCATTGTGAGAACATGTGTAAGAGGCATAGCTGTGGTTGCAAGTGCGACTGAAAGTAGCATGCAGTGCAACACGCTGAAGACAGAGGATGGCCGCAGATGGAGTCTACTGGCCTAGAAAGCTTTGTTGAAACTCCTGTATTGCACCTGCCTCGTGAGTGTTTGATGAGTTTCATGCGTTGGCCTCCAGGTAATTGAGTCAAAGTAAAAATCCTATTATCTGGTGCTTTTGATGTCTGACTTGAATTTTTTTTTTTTTTTTAATCTTCTTAAGCTTTGCAGTTGGTTAGTGACGGCACACTAAATAGTAGTGCCTTCAAGGAAGTCGATTTTATAGATTTGCACATTTGAGCACATCTGTTCTGTAGCACTGCTTGGCTTACGTGTTGATCCTATCTGGAAAAAATGTTTCCCGTGAAAAAAAATACGAGCAGTAGGATTCTCTGGGGAAGAATCAGGACACGCTGGAGAAACTGAAGTCTGCCGGCTGGCCATGGAAGGCCTTAGAATTTTTCTGGAAAGGCTGGACGGAGTGGTTGGACTCATGGGAGTCTGCTTGACTTCACTGCTTATGCTGCTGCCTCCACAATTCAACCCTTGATAAGAAAAAAAATGGATGGCTTCCCAGAAAAAATAATGTGAATTAATACATTGATGAACTTATTCCAGGTTCAGCCTGCCTCATCATGAAACCTATATTAACTGTAGCCAATGTTTTGAATCACATTTTAATATTCTACTCTGTCATCTGGGTCAGTTTGCCACTACAAAATAAAACTTTAAAGGAGAACTACTCGTACCTACTGTATCGTTCAAGACGCTGGACAATATTTGCAGTGATATACACGTGTTAGCGTTTTGTCTACATTGATGATAATAATAAGTGTGTAATGTCTAATACAGGGGCACCAACCTTCTTGAAACATAGAGCTACATCTTTGGTGCTGATTAATGCGAAGGGCTACCAATTTGATCCACACTTCTGAAATAACAAATTTGCTCTAACTTTTAATCATAGGTTAACATTCTTCATAACCTTATCTGATATATGCAGAGTATCTCCTGGGTAAGAATGCAGTCTTATTTTCATGAAATTTACCATTTGGCTTTTGGCATAGTGAGCATAACCGGTTCGGAAAATGGATGGGTATATATGGCATATTTTTCCACACACATAGTTCATACTTTAGATCAGGGCATTTGGTACCGGGCCGCACAGAAAGAACTTGCCTTAATTCCGTTTTATTTCGGAATACGAAAGATGTTTTATTTTGAAAAATTACCGGATTCTCCGTTACATCCGTCTGTGTCACGCTTGACACACGTCAAGCCACGCTTTCCCCCGTCACGTGACCGATTCCGCTTAAAAACAAAACACCAGAGCTCGCAAAATGAGTAAAAAAACTGCTGGAGATCAAATGACAGCGGCCTTAAAAGTACGTTCGAAACAACTGGATTAAAGTTATGGCTGAATATTCTGAGATCACCACAGAAGGACTGTTGCTATTTCCGACATGCTACCTGTGTGAGGCGGGGCTTTTCTGCAGCAACGGCGACTAAAACAAAATTACGAAGTAGCCTTGACGCAAAACACACACTTGTGGTGTCTTTGTCTCCTATTACCCCGAGATGGGACCATCTTGTTGCAGAAAATCAAGCTCGGGGCTGTGGTGAGTGGTCATTTTCATGCACTTTGAATTTGCATTGCATCGTATTTTGAAGGCATTAAACATTACCATAGCGATCAGAGTGTTGCGGCCAGATTAGACGCTCCTTGTGTTTATTATTATATTTCGAAAACACCACAGTTTTCATGCAGCTCATACCATATTATTTTGTTGTATTATTTCCGCCACACCTAATATGCCGGTCCCTGAAAATATTGTCTGACATAAACCGGTCCGTGGGGCAAAAAAGGTTGGGGACCCCTGCTTTAGATCACATTTTTAGACCTGGCGGAGGATAAAGGCAGCTTACTTGTTGGTTTAATCATGTTCAACCCATATTTTTGTCATAGGTTAGAGGAAGCACAATGGAATAGTACTTCGGGCATCTGTCATTCCAGCTCTGAGGTCCTGAGTTTGAATCTCGACGCCAAACACTCCCGTGTGGAATTTGCATGTTCACCCCATGCTGGCATGTTTTTTTCTTTCCAGGAAATCTGCCTTCCCTCCCACATTCCAAAAACATTAGCTTCATAGAAGACTCCAAACAGTCCATCGGTGTGAATGTAAATAAGAATGGTTGCTACATGTACAGTATGTCTCCAGTGTATGTGCCAATTGATTGATTGTGGTGGACTCCTTATCTCGGCCAGATTCAGCTGGAATAGGCTCAGGCTCTCTCTTGACCTTAGTGAGAATAAGCGGCATAGTAAATGGATGGACGCAGTGTGGTTGTCGTTGAGATGACGCCAGCCAACGTTGGGTCAAGTGAGCCATTCTCAGCCGGTGCATTGCTGCGGTCAGCAAGTAACGACATGCACATCCGATATAATTTATTTTCAATGTCAGGCACCCGATATTTTATATTTCATTTTACAACAAGGTTGTGCTAATTTTCAAAGACAATATGGCAAAGTGTTGATTTAAATTCATGCTAAAAATCAGACATGACCCCTTGTGTGTTATACATATGGAATGACGTGGACCTGCACGGTTTTGGTATTTTTTTTTTCACTTTTGAACTTGCAGTGGTTGCTTTCCTCCTCTGTTTAGGACCCTTGGTGTAAATGCATTCTCAATGAGACTCTTGCGTCTATTGGAATACAGTATTTTCCGCATTATAAGATACTTCGGAGTATAAGGCACCCCTTCAATGAATGGCCTATTTTAAAACTGTTTTCATATTCTGTATAAGTCACACGGCATTATAAGGCGCATAGAACAGAAGGTACAATAGTGGCTGGGGTTGTGTTATGCATCCACTAGATGGAGCTATGCTAAAATGAATACAATACAATACAGCTTTATTTATATAGCGCTTTCACAACCGCTGCAGCTGGAACAGAACATGTAAAATACCACGTCCAAGAAATCCAAATATTGATCCGTATATAAGGCACATCGGATTATAAGGCACGCTGTTGGCTTTTGAGAAAATTTAACGCTTTTAGATGCGCAGAGGGTATGGTAGTTGTGTACCATCCGACTGTTGTGTTCCATTATTTGTGTCTTTTCGTTGCACTGAGCCCTCAGCTGCTGCCTTTGTTGACACTCTGTTGACAAACATTGAGACCTTAAACACACACTTCTCAGTGTAATGTGAGTCGGGTCTCTTTTTCTCTTTTTCAGACAATCACCTCTTGTCTGACATTCAGTCCAAAAGATTTGTTGCACTGCTCATCACATATTTTTATGTAGGTGGTGAAAATGCTGAAAATTTCAGCACTATTAAAATAGAAACATGCTGTGGATTTTGACCAGTTTTCCTTCACAATGATGTACACAAGAGCTGTATTTATGAATCAACGGCCGTGGGTTTGATTGTGAGCTCTTTATTTGCATGACATGAGGTGAAATACCCAGATGCTCTTTTCGCAGAGGTGTTGATGAAGTGGCAAAACAGGAGAGATGATTGTGTTGTTCCACAAGCTGATGAATGGATGTGGGTGTTTGTCTTTTGCAGCTCTACGATAAGATCAACACCAAGTCGTCCCCACAGATCAGGAACCCGTCCAGTGACGGCGTGCAGAGAGCCAAAGAGGTAAAATGGCAATCATTTCCATCAACATCTCTTCTCTTTCGTGATTAAAGTGGCTAACCTGCTGCCAATTTTCCTTTTCCACTACACTGTTCCTACTCGGGCCTTACTCATTAATATTGCACTTTGCTCATGGAAAATTCAGGTTTAATTTTGCCCTGAATTAAAAAAAAAAAAAGTTTAATATGACAAATTGGCTTTTTGTCAGACTGAAAAATTCACCATATATATATATATATAATTATCTTATTTTATTTATTTTATTTATTTTTATTATTTTGTTACTCCGTGAACCAAATCCCTTATGCAAATAAAAGCGCACTGTTTTTCTTTTTATCGTTGGGGTTTCTCGTTCCGAATTATGTGTGTCCACTTTTCTACAGCGTTTTTCTTGTTGCCCTTACCATTGGATACAATTTATCGAAAATTCAGGAGAGCCTCACTCTTGTCCAAGGTTTCCTGAGGTCATGGAAAACCAACAAGCTGAGCTAGTATGGTGCAGTGGAAAATTGTTACTTAAATGTCTCTTTTCCATGCTTTGGTTTTGTTCATCTTTCTGGCTTTATGCTTACTAATACCTTCTCTCTTCAGCACCTATATAGTGACAATGACCGCATTTGTCCACACTTTCTTCAGTAAAGAAAAAAAAATGCAAGGCTGTTGATGTTGTCCCTTTGATCTCACCTGTTTGTTTTGTAGCTGAAAAGAGGTCTTTGCCATTTTTGTATATGTTTTCATATATTTTAGTCATACATACATAGAGAGAGAAAGAGAGAGAGAGAGAGAGAGAGAGAGAGAGAGAGAGAGAGAGAGAGAGAGAGAGACAGAGAGGGGGGGGTGTGTGTG